TATAATTGCATGCAGCCTACAAGTAAACACATGGTAATATATGTATATAAATATAAATATAATTATAACAGTATATAATTAATATAATTAATGTATTAATAATTCGATAATTCGATTCAACAATTATTACAATAATATTCAATTATACACTTACTCACATTCAATAATTAAAAAGAAGATATCAAAATTGTATCTTTCTACGCACGAACAATCCAAGATGTCTGTACTAATTTTCCACGACTGAAAGTATGGAAGTAACGGGTACAGGTCGAGGGCCATTGGACCACCCGAAAGTTTCCACTGGGGAAACGAAAAGGGAAACAGCACAGCTACCTGCAAAATGCACCGAAAGAGAGAGAGAGAGAGAGAGAGAGAGAGACTTCCTCACTGTCGGTGCAACGAACTCAAAAGGATCTTCTTCCGGGTGTTACGCTGCCCGTAAAGCGAGGAGAAGAGAAGGACCGTGAATAATCGGTCGACAATCGGGCGACGTACGGTTACTGCACGCTTAAGTAGTACGAGTCTAAATATTGCGAGACGTGATTTCTTACGCTCAGCCGTGTGCTCCATCCATCCGAAAATATTTTGCCACGCGAGATTCGACACGCATCCTCGGACAGTTTGACAAACACACAGTCACAGTAAAGAATGTGTATCCACGCACGTGGCCATCGCGATCCTCGATGGTGTGTCTTTCGTTGTTCTATTCATCATTTTTTTTTCTTTTGCGAGGAATGATGTCCTTGGACGTACTAGTCCTTGGAGTTACACTTCTTCTTTCAAAAACTTCCATTTCTGTTTAATGCAATTCTATGTAATATTTAATGTCTTATTAAATATAGAATTAATTGTATCATTAAATCAATATACATTTATGTTTTTACTTTTTGCATATTTTTAAATTTGTTCCATGATCGTCGTAACGACTGTACATCGTTAGTTAAATTTCAAAATAGCAGAATAATATTCATGAAATGTATGAATACATCTTGAAAAACGAAAAGAGAAATATTACACAGGAAATAGTTCAATTCTAAGAGAAACAGAATCAGACTGAATTTTAATGGACTGAAGATGCGTAAAATGCAAAGGCATAGAAGATATTCAGAGTAGAGTACTGATTATAATTTTTAGCATATAAAATTTAACTAATTTATAATTTTATATCATTCAATTATTTTTTAAATCCTATAATATCTCATTTTTAAACGATTGTATGGTATAGAGTTATAAATTGGCCATTTC